GAGCCGCGAGAGGGTCCTGGAGGAACAGGTGGGGGCGGCGGGACGCGGGGAGAGCCCGGCGGGAAAGAGCTGGGGTGGGGAAGTGGAGTCACGGAGACCCATCTAACAATGGAAAGGAAGCAAATCCTAGAGCCTAAAGTCTTGGAACCAGCTTTCTCCTCCTCAAAATGAGGCGATAAAAACTGTGCCCATTTCGCAGAGGTGTTGTGATGACTTAACATTTGTAAAGTGCGTAGAACACTTTGCCAGGCCCAGAGTGTGCGATGTTTGTTAATTAACAATCGGCTTTAAAGATCATCTAAGCCAAAGACTCTCACCAGCGTGATTTTGTAAAGAGGCAGCTGACTGAGTCCACTCGCTCCGGATCTGATGAACCATAACATATTGGGCTGGCTCCAAGAATCTGCATTTTTAAAAGACTGCCCCAAATATTTCTTCTAGACACTAAAGTTGGGGGATCACTCATCTGGGCCAACCTCTTTGACTTGCAAATGAATGAACTGGGAAGTGCCCAGAGTCTCTGCAGAGCCCTAAAAGGCTGTAAGGCCCTAAGACTAAAATCCTACCATACAGCCCTCTTTCCGTCCAACTGGTTACGTGGCCCCTAGCAAATTTACTGTTTCTAATCTGTGAAATGGGGGCAAAGTCACACCCACTGCCAAAAAGGGGGATGTGAGGATTAAATAAGACCCAGGTGCGCCAAGCACAACCCTAACGGGTGACAAGTGATAAGTGAACGTGAGAGTTCCACCCTACGCCACCCGATTTTATGAGGTGCAAAGGACGGTCCCAGCCAGGATGCCCCAAGGATGGGCGTTTCCTTACCACCTTCCCCAGTACCTCCTCCTGTGACTGGCATGTCCAAGACGTGCTGTTGGGGCTCAGTCCAGCCCAGCCAGGTCGGGAGCTGCTGGTACGGCAGGAGAGACCCGCACCGGGTCTCTACACCGCTCCGTAGGAGGAGGGGCAGAAGCCACTCCAGCCCGCGCGTCCCTGCGCGTCGCCGCGCCAGGACTGTGCCGCGCGCGGCGCCGATATCCCTCTTCCTGGAGAGAGGAAGAACCCAGCGTACAGGTAGCCTCCTCCTGGTGTCTCTGCCATCGGGAGGTGCAGGCACCCTCCTAAAAGTCTAAGCAGAGGCTCCTGATGAGAGTGTTACCTCCTGGTCTTGGGCGGATCCGGAGTTTCTGTGATCTGGCTCTGACGTTAGGAATCCCGGTCGCTCAACACTTAGGACCTCAAGATGAAATGAATATCACTTCGTCCTGCTGGTGGAAGAGTAATTTGGTACATCCTTTCTGTATAGTAATTTGTCAGTATTCCCCCAAACGTAGAAATCATGTGCAACTTTTGACCTAGTGCACACGGCCTTCTAGACAGGCATACAGCAAACAGTAACATGATGGCAATAAAAGAAGTAACAAAGACCGCGACTATCGTTTACGGAGCATTTGTGCCTGGTGTGTTTGGACAGCCATTACATGCGCTGCCTCGCTGAAGCCTGGCCACTTCACGAGGCAGTACTAGCAGGATGGCAGAAATCAAAGAAAGACCCAGTGACACCCAAGGCCAAGCTCAGCAAGTTTTGGTTCTGCACAGGTTCTGCTGTCTAAAGCAAATCAGGTGGCTAAGCCTGACATTAATGAGATGGGAGGGACTGCAAAGTCACAGGGCGAAAGGTGTGTATACAGGGAAGGGCGAAGATTTGACAACAATTTCTCACACCCCGCACATCTGGTTCTTCCAGTTCTCCAAGGACTTTTCAAAATAGAATTAGGGCTCCCCTAATTCCCAGAAAATCAAAATAAATGTTTTCCAAGGCAAAATTACATAAAGCTTTACACAACTTTAAACAGCAAACACGTATGGTGCGTCCTGGAAAAGTACCCTGCTTAGAACTATATTGTATTGAACTGCTCTTAGGGAACCTGGTGGCTCAGTTCATTAAGTGGCCAGCCGACTCTTAGTTTTGGCTCAGGTCATGATCTCATGGGTTTGTGGGTTTGTGAGTTTGAGCCCCGTGTTAGGCTCTGCACTGATAGCAAGAAGCCTGTTTGGGATTCTCTCTCTCCTCAATCTCCGCTCCCCTCCCTCTCTCTCAAAATTAAATAAATAAACATAAAAAAATAAATAAAGTGCTTGGAGTCCATGAATGTGAGCAACATATTCATTCAACTCTGTATCCCTAACAGCCAGTACAATATCTGGAAACAGGAAATCTACATTAAAAAAATTTTTTTTTATTTTTAGATTTATATCCAAATTAATTAGCATATATGGTGCAACAATGATTTCAGGAGTAGATTCCTTAGTGCCCCTTACCCATTTAGCCCATCCCCTCTCCCACAACCCCTCCAGCAACCCTCAGCTTATTCTCCGTATTTATGAGTCTCTTCTGTTTTGTCCCCCTCCCTGTTTTTATATTCTTTTTGTTGCCCTTCCCTTATGTTCATCTGTTTTGTCTCTTAAAGTCCTCATATGAGTGAAGTCATATAATTTTTGTCTTCCTCTGACTAATTTCGCTTAGCGTAATACCCTCTGGTTCCATCCACATAGTTGCAAATGGCAAGATTTCATTCTTTTTGATTGCCAAGGAATACTCCATTGTGTGTGTGTGTGTGTGTGTGTGTGTGTGTGTGTGCGCGCGCCACATCTTTATCCATTCATCCATCGGTGGACACTTGGGCTCTTTCCATACTTTGGCTATTGTTGATAGTGCTGCTATAAACATGGGGGTGCATATGTCCCTTTGAAACAGCACACCTGTATCCCGTGGATAAATGCCTAGGAGTGCAATTGCTGGGTCTAGGGTAGTTCTATTTTTAGTTTTTTGAGGAACCTCCATACTGTTTCCCAGGGTGGCTACACCAGCTTGCATTCCCATCTACATGTGTTTTAAATGAATGAAACCATGTTGGAAATCCTATTACGTGTGTACCTTTTCCTTCTTCCCAATTTGAGGGCAGGACTCTTCTCAACATTTCACCCTTTATAGAATCCAGAATTGGGTCTTATAACTTGTAACTGGAAATTTATGTGTTGAAGAAAGGCTTGCATAAATGAAAAAAATACACAGGAAGAGGTGAACCGCTGTGCCCTTGGCCTTTAAATACTAAAGACAACCATAGTTCAACAGGAAGAGTTTAGCCTTAGTTTCAAATCCTTACAAGGATGTTTCTGGGAAAATACTTGCTAAACATTTGATTTGTGAATCCAGGAAGATGACCACATCTTCCGTACAGGGTTATTGAGCATATTAATTGAAACAAGCAAATGCATGTGTCAGGCAGAGAGTAGGAGCTCAGACCAGTCGCCCAGCAGATTTTGTTTGCCTGTACACCCTCTTGACCCCTTCCATGGGCAGACATAAGTGTAGCCCATCAGCCAAAGCAAACAGCCTGGCTGACCTTTGCCAAGGAATTCCACACCCCTCTCTCAGTTTACAAATTACTACAAAAGTAATTACAACAAAATTGTATATACCACCAACAATTTATTTTTAACTTGATCACATATCTTGGATTATTGAAACAGGTATTTATTTACAGTGCCTTCAATAATAAAGAATGAGTTAGGGCAACAAACAAAAAAACTTGTATCCACTAGGACGAACCTGGAATTTTTGTTTATTTACTTTTTTGGTTTTTGTTTGTGTTTTGTGGAGCAGCCAAGGCTTTTAAAATAAATCCTGAGGGAAAAATGGAAAACAAGTCAACTTCATGTATGATATAATCTTTTCCTACAAGGAGACCTTGCAAAAAAAAAATTAATAACCAAAACTGCAGATGAAGTTATACTTTTACAGGTTTTATGTAATACCTTAATAGGAACATTATCTAATTAAGATTTTCTAGTAAGGATTCAAGAGTTGCTGTAAACATTCTCCAAACAGACCAATTATTACAGCATAATGATACCCATGCATATTATTATTGTATCTATTCATATCTGTTTCCCATAATAAAATTAGAATATATGAGTGATTTATTAAAATTAATGTTTATAGGGGCACCTGGGTGGCTCAGTCGGTTAAGCAGCCAACTTCAGCTCAGGTCATGATCTCGCGGTCCATGAGTTCGAGCCCCGTGTTGGGCTCTGTGGTGAGAGCTCAGGGCCTGGAGCCTGTTTCAGATTCTGTGTCTCCCTCTCTCTGACCCTCCTGCATTCATGCTCTGTCTCTCTCTGTCTCAAAAATAAATAAACGTTAAAAAAAATTAAAAAATAAATAAATAAAATTAATGTTTATAGACCACAGTACCATACAAACCTATGAAAAGCCACAATAGAGTTATTTTTACATGTTTCCAAAAAGTCAGAGTAGTATAAGCTTTGAATATAATAACAGGGTTAATTTCTGTAGCAGAATAAACACACCCAGGAATTAACCATAAAAATGATGCTGTGTTAAGTCCATTTGCTCTTAACTAGCCGCATAAAAGAAAGAGGCAGGAAATAAAATGGTGTTTATGTTTATGGAAGAAAACTCATTCCATTCTGTTACCTTTATAGTTGACCTCACATGTAAAAATTAATTCCTTCCCATCAAGGAGAAAGGTCCTTCCCCCACCCCCAAACTACGTACTGACTGCAAGTTAATTATGGAAGAAAAAACTCTTTGGGGCTAGTGATGGGAAAGAGTTGTCCTCTGTACCTATAATCTAGGAATTAAGAAATAGCCTATTTGATTAAGCACTGACAAGGAATACAGCTTTTTTTTTTTTTTTTTTTTTAGTTTTCTGGTAATTATAAGAACTCTGGTCTTTAGCAGACAAAAGAAAAAAAAGAGGACGCTTTCATAAATAAGTTTAATGGTCAAATAGCTTTTTAAAACTTTTTTTGGTTTCTAGTCTTGATAATGTGAATTTTATTTGGTTTAGTGCTCACTCGCTCTATTTTGTAACTTTGAAAGTACAACTTCATTTTTTTCTGAAATTGGAAGAAAAAAATACAGTAACCAAAAGATGTAGGGATTATGAAGGGGAAAAAATGTAACAGTAATCTTTCATCCAAAAAATGTTTATTTTCCTATTACCTTAAGGCAAAATATATTTTATTGCAAATATATCTAAGGTTTAGGAAATATTTGTTATTTTATGCCCTTTCCCCAAGAAGCCAACACATAACTTCCCAAGCCAGAAATGTTTTAAAAATACTGTTAAAACTATACAAAATAATAGAAATACTTAAGAAAAAAGTGATAGATATCTTGCCACATAGTAGGTATAGTTTCACAGATATTGCACAGATAGGAACATATTTTATATTTCAACTTTTCATTATCTTCTTGTGCACTAATATTTCATAGAAACAAAATGTTGAATTCTTAACATCCATGTTTTAGAAAGTGTTGTTAAGCCTGTTGCCTACTAAGTCACTACTTTGTTTCAACACTGAAATGTACAAAAGGCAAAAAATGGAAGGAAAGAGAAAAAGACACAGAAAATGATTCACATCTACATAAATACATTCTCAGTGGACTGTCTAGATTTTTCTGTCGTTATAGGTTTTCTTACTCAATAGTATCTGCACATACAGTGGCTTCAATAATACCAAAAAAGACAACATCACTCTTCTTCATAGTTCAGATCCCTTTCTTAGTTTCCAGACAATATCTCAAAAGCCCATCAAATGCTAACCGGTCAGCTGGAATAATGGACCAGGAGGTTGCTGGTCAATGTTGGTAAGTCACCAGCATAGCTCTCCAAAACCGGATAGATCCGGTTGGGCAATTTCAACTCCGTATTTTTATCACCTCTTGCTTGTCACTGAAGTTTTTACTTCTTCAGAATCTACAATGAATTTAAAAAAAAAAAAAAAAGGATCGGCCAAAGTTAATTCTTTGGTGATCACTGCATGCATTACTCTCAGGAGCATAGAAACTTGTAATGAGTCGGAGAAGATATTTAGTGGTGAAACTTTCGTACAATCTGGGTTTTCTGTTTCTTTTTGGCTTTTAAAAAGCTACTCCAACCAAACCCCAGAGAACCCACAGAAGAGGAAGCAGTAACTGAAGCTACGTTGGGTGCACTGTATGCACATTAAATCCAGTTCCCCCAAATTATCACATATATTGTTGTTACTAACACACTTTTCAACACTATCCTTCTGCACACATCATCTATTCCTCTGTCAATTGCAGAAAAGTTGTCACGGTTGTAACCGTGGTTCCTTTTCAAATACAGCACGGAATACGTGCACATCTGCTTTTGATGGTAGATCCGTAAACAGCAGGCTGTCTACAAGCCCTACCCTACTGAAGCTGTCAGCTCTGAGATTCATATTCCCAAAGTCCATACCGTTTTCTTCATCAAGATTGTAAACTCCTGCATATATAGATGGATGGACGTTTAGAGAATTGATTTACGACAAAGTCGTTCACTCCAACTCCATTCGCAGCTTCTTCCTGACTGTCATAGTCTTGGGACCTGTCCCGTCTGCTGGGAATGCCAGCCAGAGCCGCCCAAGTCCCCCGCCTCTTCACCCACCAGCAGCTAGTCCAGCGCGCTGGAGCTTGTGACAAGCTGCAGAACCCTGGCTAGTGCCTCGGCCTCCACCCCCAACAGGATATGCAGGAGGGGACAGCTGTGCATCCGGAAGCCGCGTTTCCACCCACCCACTTCCACTGCGGGTTCCCTAGCACAGGCCTGGGGCCGCCTCAGTGGCTCGCGCCCAGCGTCCTGCCTCCCGCCCCGCGCCCTCTTAAGCCCCTCCTCCCCTCCCCAGGGAATGTCTCGAGGATTTGGGGCTAGGGAAAGGAGGAGGATGAAGCCGGCAGTGACGGCAGTGAGGCAGATCTAGCTCACCGCGACTAGGAACGCTTACGGAGGGAGGGTGCGCAGACTCCCGCGCCCCAGAACCCTGCCAGGCTTGCGGACGCTCATTGGCCGCGCATCGTTCACACACTTTCGCGCCCTCCACGGGGAGGCTAGAGCGCGACCAATAGGCTTCCGCAGTAAGAGAGCTGCTGCCCAATGAGACCAAAGGGACTCGGGACCTCTCGTTCATTGGCCAGAAGGGCAGAGACCACTTGCCCAGAGACCATTTTTGCCCCGAAGGCGGAATTCCTGGCTGGAGGCAAAGATCACCCCAAAGTCGCAAGTTCCTGTGAGTGACTGGTGACTGACGGCGGAATTTGGGACGAACTCTTTTATTCGGTGAGTCACCTCTTTGGTCATGGAGCTGATTTAGAGGTTTGAGAAAATTCACTGACAGGGACACGATACAGAAAAATTTCAGGCTGGGAGAGATGGGGCATAAAAAACCCATACGGCTGGATAGTATCATATCCTGAAAGGACTGAGGTTTGTCCCTGGAAACGTAAAAAAAAAAAAAAAAAAAGTGCATTTCTTCTGCAGTGCCCAAGGGGAGAGCATGTTCTAATTTTAAAAACTGATGTGTTTTATAAGACCCAACGTTAACGTTATGAAAATGTTCTCTAATAAGTTCAGCCTCTCCGTGTCTGAATTCTGTGTGTAACAACCATGTCAAATGTGTTTTCCTGAGTGACCTGAGCTGCTTTCCAGGGTAAAATAAGTGACACGTGGTGACTATGTTCTCCATCGTGTTCATCATTTTTTTTTAAATTTTTTTTCAACGTTTATTTATTTTTGGGACAGAGAGAGACAAAGCATGAACGGGGGAGGGGCAGAGAGAGAGGGAGACACAGAATCAGAAACAGGCTCCAGGCTCTGAGCCATCAGCCCAGAGCCCGACGCGGGGCTCGAACTCACGGACCGCGAGATCCTGACCTGGCTGAAGTCGGACGCCCAACCGACTGCGCCACCCAGGCGCCCCAATCGTGTTCATCATTAAGAGCACTGAAGCCATCTACATTCACATAGCTTGCCAACTACATTAATATGATTTATCTACTGTTTTCATCAAAATAAATTTACTCTCCCAGCAAAGTTTTGCCCAGGGACATGAAAGTTGCAAATATCTTTATTGTTTATTCCAGGAACTTCCTCAAAGACCCAAGCACTCTTCAGTTGAAATCATCAAAGTACAGTTGGCATCCCAAACCTTGAAAATCCTTGCCTTGTTACCCACCAATTCTAAACTGTCACCCAGTGCTTACTCAATCCTAACCAATTCCCCACATTAAAGACCTGATTTAAACCAGACGTCAAAATCTCAATAAATAGCCCAACCTTGCTCTCCTCCTTCTGAAATGCTACCAAAGTTCTGTGAAGCTATTTCTTCCCAAAACCTCAAGAAGCAGTAAGCTTAGCTTTGTCTTATCAACAGTTCTGCTGAGATTTCTGGGAGCCAGCATTTGACATCCTTGGAAGCCCCAGCAAACACCTAGTCAGTTTCTGCTGCCACAACTCCGGATCCGTGTAGTCCTGAGGTCCCATTAACTTTCTCTCCGGCGCTCTCTGAACTCAAAGGTGAGAACAGCGGATCTTGCGTGAGGTTCAGCCCCAGCTTGCTTTTTGTTGAAGGTCCCCCAAGGGCTGAGCTTATTTTGTCCCTGGGAGTAAAGAAATCTTTTAAGGAATCCTCGTGATTATCTGGCCTAAACTTTAGAAGGTCTACGCTTGAAAATCCGCCTTATTAACAATACAATTGGTCTCTACCGCCGTCAGTTGTGGCTGTACTTGTGTCAGAGAAAAGTTCATAGGGAAGAGAATAGGCTCTGACTCCCCTAAGTCTGGCCCCTCCACTGGCAGTGGGGATGAAGTTCGGAAGGTTTCGTTACAGGCTGGAAGGACTGACACAAACACGCTTTCTAATAGTTTATTCTGGGGGCCCCCACCCCCAACAGCCAGGCCCGTTTCCGGGGTGTCCAAAGAAGCGAAGACGCAGAGACGGCGGTGGAAAGAGGTAGGTGCAGGCAGAGGCAGAGGCTGGTAGAAGCCGGGCGGATATAAAAGAGGAAGGAACCCAGCAGTGGGCGGAGCAGCGGGTCGCGAAAGGCGGGAAAAGTTCTAGAACCTCAGCCCTGCCTCCCGCGGGTACAGCCCGCCGAGCTATCCCTGGCGCCCCTCCCCGGCGGGCTTCCAGCCGAAGCTCCTAGGCCTAGGTTTCCTCCAATAAGCACCGATCATGGAAGGGCGCTGGATTCGAGTGCCGGAGGCCTGCGGAGGGGCAGGAAAGCGGAAGCGCACGCGCGCCTGCAGGTCTGGGCGGGACACAGCCGCCCACGCGCGGAGCGCGGGGGAGGCTTTTATTTCCGTGGCGGCTGCTGGTCACTCCCTGTGCGGGAGGGGGCGGGGAGCGGGGTGGTGGCCTAGGGTCAGCCGAGACCCGATCGATCCCTCTTGTCTGGCTCAGATCTGTGCACTTGCTCTAGGGTAAAGGGGGAGGGGGGAGGAGGAGTTCGTGAAGGGGACAGAGGAGATGGGGAGGGGAGGAAGCTGGAGGAGAGGGGAGGCAGATGGGGCGAGCGAGGGAGAGCGAAAGAGAGAGAGGAGTGCGGGAAGAATTCCAAGAGAGAGCCTCTGGGTGGGCAGGAGATGTCCCTGTCTTTCTTAATCACCTTACCTGGGGGACATTGGGCAAGTCGTTCAGGTCAGCAGAGCCTTCTCCAACTCTAAGACCGGGCTGGAGTATGAGAGCTAGCTAAGGACACTTCACATTTGCTGTAATATGGTTCCAGCTGGATACTGGAAATGATGTTGGGGGCAGGAGGTGGATATTGGGGTGTTTTCTTAACCTCTTGTCTCTTTCCACTGTGAATGCTCCAGTTCACCCCCGTATAGTTCAAAAGTCATGTTTCTTTCTGTCCACTTTATATATACACATATGTGTATATATATATATATATATATTTTTTTTTTTTTTTTCTTTTGGTCCATATGTAATAATCACTCCTAAATCACCTGGGTCCTGTCTCAAAGTCCGCCAGTTCGGGTCATCCTCAACAGCACACTGAACTCCCAGATTCTCTTAACTATTGGGCAGTAAGTTCTTGCCTTCAAGGATCTTACAACATAGCCCCACTGCTCCATGATATGTATCTGTTTCTGTTTCCCCAGGTTCTCTGCAGTTTAACAATTGTGGTAAGTATATTGATATTGATAATAGTGATAGTAGTAATATTTACTGGGCAGCCTGTTATGTTCCAGGAACTGTTCTAAAGGCTTTATATGAATTGTATTTTTTAATCTCCACAAGCAGAGAGACAGATTCCACCACTCCTCCCGTCTTAGAGATGTGGACAAGGAGATAGACAGTGCTTAATTAGTAGGCCCAAGGTCATGCAGCTAGTAAGTGGTAACCAGATATTTGAATCCAGGTGGTCTTATAAAAACTAACATTGATGCAGCAACTTCATATTCTTTACCTCATTTAGAATTATGGCCTCGGGGCGCCTGGGTGGCGCAGTCGGTTAAGCGTCCGACTTCAGCCAGGTCACGATCTCGCGGTCCGTGAGTTCGAGCCCCGCGTCAGGCTCTGGGCTGATGGCTCAGAGCCTGGAGCCTGTTTCCGATTCTGTGTCTCCCTCTCTCTCTGCCCCTCCCCCGTTCATGCTCTGTCTCTCTCTGTCCCAAAAATAAATAAACGTTGAAAAAAAAAGAATTATGGCCTCGTTTTACAAATAGGAGAGTTAGGTTCAGAGACGCTGGAGTTTCCTGGGTAGCTCATTACCAGTAAAGAATGAAGCCCAGGCTCCTGCTCCACAGTGAAATGGTTAAGGGCACAGTCTTTGAGAACTTCCACTTGACAAGAAACAGACAGGCTAGAGCATAAGTTAAACAACGAGCAGGAACCCAGCTGAGCTGGCAGCACAGAGCCTGATTGCTGGGCTGGAACCCACAAACCACAAGATAGTGACCTGAGCCGAAGTCGGACGTTTAACCAACTGAGCCACCCAGGCAGCCTGGGTTTTATTTAAGTTTCTATTTTTAAGTAATCTCTACACCCAACATGGGGCTCGAACTTACGACCCCGAGATTGAGTTGCATGCTTTTCCGACTGAGCCGGCCAGGCACCCCAAGAGACACAATTAAAGACAGGCTTGTGTACCCCAGTTGGATCTTGGTCTAACCAAATCAGTATTGTAATTATACAAGAAAAAGTTCTTCATTTGTAGAGCTGGAAAGAGATAATTAGGGATAAAATGTCACGATGTATCTAAGTGTAAAATAATCTTGTAAAATAAAAAGATGATGCAAATTTCGCAAAAAATGAACAATCACTAGGCATATGAGATCATGACCTGAGCCCAAATCAAGAGTCAGACGCTTGACTTGAGCCCAAATCAATCATTATACTATTCTCTTTTTTTGTTCTCGTTCCTATTTGAAATGTTCGTAATCAAAAGTATGCTGGAGCTTTGTAACCTTGAGTAAATAGTTTAGTCTCTCCGGATCTCAAGATTTTTATTCACAAAATAGAACTAAGAATGCCTATCTCACAGAGTTGGGAGAATTAAATGAGATCATTTATAAAGAGCTCTTAGGATAGGGCATAGCATATCATGTGCAGACTCCATTCCTTCATTGGATCTTTATAAATGTGTCTGTATTGAGAGCTCACCACGTGCCGGCATCATGGTACATGTTGGGATACTGAAAACAGAGGGCTTTTGCCCTCTATGGCTTTTGTTCTATTTACTACTAATGAAAATTGCACTGTTTTATTTACATTGTTCATTCTCTTCTGTGGGGTCATGAGAAGAAAGATAGAAGGAAAAATACCCCTTTAAACAAACAGACAGACAAAACCAACAGACGAGCAGCAACGAAACTTCCTGACTCTTCCCAGGTAAACTCTCATTCCAAGATTATTTTGTCTTTATGGTCCTTTTCCCATCCATTCCTCTGTAATTACACCATCCCTGTGCTACCCCCACCTTAAGTGGGGGCCAGATTTTGACATCAGTGGAACTAGAACACACTTCTGCATTCTCAAACTGCAGAACTACCCTTCTGTAAGGCATTTATACCTGCGTTTGAATTGCATCTCTGCCATGTAGCTCTGGCCTTGAGGGTCACCTGCCTGATCTGAGTTATACGTTCCTCATCTGCAAAAAGCAAATATACCTGCTTTGCACGGTATCTGGGGGGATTGGCAATTAGAGATAATTTTTGTAAAGTATTTAGTGTGGTATCTAACGTGCGGTGCTCTATAGAAGGGACCTTGTATTGTTGAGGTGATTATAGTCATTGGTAAAGGGTCTGTTGCTAGGTTAACATCTTTGAAGAGAGGGTGCTAGAGCCCAGGGGAGAAGCGTGGGATGTGGGGTCCCTGTTAACATTATCCTCTATACAATGAACACAGCTCTGAAGACACAACTCTTGAACCTTTGGGAAACTAGTGTTTTGGCTGAACTGTCGATTCATCTTTAAGCCACCATGAGCCCTACAAAGCGCAGGTCACAGAAGATCGCATTTGATGAAAAGCGTAATATGAAAATTGATCACTATTTTCATCAGGTATGTTTGTAAATATTATTTATGGAATATACCGATACGAGACACAGCTCTCCTTGACACTGGGTGCCATAGTTCTCTCTTCCAAGAAATTACCTCATGGTAGGTTGAGGATATTAAGTTAAAATCTTTCTTGGGGCACCTGGGTGGCTCAGTCGGTTAAGCATCTGACTTCAGCTCAGGTCATGATCTCATGGTTTGTGGGTTGAAGCCCCGTGTCCAGCTCTGTGCTGACAGCTCAGAGCCTGGAGCCTGCTTCGGATTCTGTGTCTCCTTCTCTCTCTCTGCCCCTGCCCTGCTCGTACTCTGTCTCTCTCTCTCTCTCTCTCAAAAGTAAATAAAACATTAAAAAAATTTTTTTTAATCTTTCTTATCCATTTGTTCTATTTTATAGTTTTAGTATAGTTTTTTTAAATTTTATTTATTTATTTTGAGAGAGAGTGAGTGAGGGAGGGACAGAGAGGTAGAGAGAGAGAATCCCAAGCCGGTTGTGCACCATTAGCCTGGAGCCTAATGTGGGGCTCAAACTCATGAACCCTGAGATCATGACCTGAGCCCAAATCAAGAGTCAGACGCTTGACTTGAGCCCAAATCAAGAGTCAAATGCTCAACCTATTAAGCCACCCAGGCACCCCAGTTTTAATATAAATCTTGGCCATATCAAAGCAGCCTTTGGTAAAAACTATTGTAACACTTCCTGAACAACAACAACAAAAAGTACAATATCATGTATTATAGTCAACTATGGAATAAAAACATTAACACCATTTCATAGCATGAAACTATATGCTATCCCAAATATGGCTCATGTATTTGAGCACAACAATAACCTACATTTATATTGTGCATTCTGGTCTACAAAACACATTAAAAATTTTTTTTTTCAACGTTTATTTATTTTTGGGACAGAGAGAGACAGAGCATGAACGGGGGAGGGGCAGAGAGAGAGGGAGACACAGAATCGGAAACAGGCTCCAGGCTCCGAGCCATCAGCCCAGAGCCTGATGCGGGGCTCGAACTCACGGACCGCGAGATCGTGACCTGGCTGAAGTCGGACGCTTAACCGACTGCGCCACCCAGGCGCCCCTAAAACACATTTTAAAATAATGATCCTCCAGGCACCTGGGTGGCTCAGTTGAGCATCCCACTCGTGATTTCAGCTTAGGTCATGAACTCACAGTCATGAGTTCAAGCCCTGCATCAGGCTCCGTGCTAGGCCTGGAGCCTGCTTGAGATTCTTTCTCTCTCTCCCTTGCTCACATGGTCTCTCTCTCTCAAAAAAAAAAAAAAAAAAAAAAAAAGTAAAACATAATAATGCTTATCATAACCCTGTTAGGGAGGGAGGGAGGATTTTATTATGTTTATGGGGAGAGAGAAATGACTTCTTGCTTGAGACAGAAGTGGGGTGAAGACTTGGACTTACATTTATTGACATTAAGTCAGGGCTCTTTCTAATAACAGGGCTCTGTGATCATATCAAACCATCATATTCTATCCTGAGTCTGAAATGCTCCTTGAAATTATCAAGAAGAAGGCTGAGAATTTTGAGAATTTGGGGATGCAACATAAAAGCTTTCATTTGTTTTCTTTTATCCTGGTTGTAGCTAGAATATCCAAATATCTAGGGAAGCCAAGACAAGCCTAGTTATGTTTCTTTTGGTTCTACTTCATGACAGAGTGAGCTAATAGCCACATACTACCCAGTTCCCTTTCTTAAATTCTTTATTTTATTTATTTATTTTTTAAATGTTTCTTTTTGAGAGAGAAAGAGAGAGTGTGTGAGCTAGAGAGGGGCAGAGAGAGGGGGACAGAGGATCTGAAGCAGACTCAGTGCTGACAGCAGAATCCAGTGCAGGACTCGAATTCATGACCTGTGAAACCATGACTTGAGCCAAAGTCGGACACTTAACTGAGCCACCCAGATGTCCCTCGTTTTTATATTTTTAAAAAAAATTTTAAGTAGGCTCCACACCAATGCACAGCTCGACCTCAAAACTGTGAGATCAAGACCTGAGCTGAGATCAAGAGTTGGACACTTCACCAACTGAGCCACCCAGGCACCCTATTGTTCCCTCTTTGAAAATGTCTGTATCTGCCCAGGAATCTTTGGAAATCCATTACACCGTCCCCATAGGGTGTGTGACAAGGATGTTTCCGACAGGATGGGGCTGAAGAGATGGTCTTTGAGAGTTTGTATGTTATGTGCAGAGTAAAGTTATATTACCTTATGTTCCTTTTTTTTTTTTTTTCTCCTGATCCAGAATATTAGCAGCATCACGAAAGGAAAATAAAAGTTAACGCATTAATGTGCTGGTCATTGTGTTAGGTATTGTCACACATGACATTACATTGAATCTTTACAACAATCCTGCCATTGTCATTCCCATTATCAGCAAGTAGCATTGCTGCCATATAAACTTGTGTCTGTTGACCCCTAGGCCCCGATGCATAGAACACGTATCATTTAGATACAGAAATCAAATGCTCTTAATTTTTCATTAAATTTCTGCTATTTGATTAACCCTCCTTGTGTAAGGTTGTAATCGGAGTTTTAAAATATTTCACATTTATTTTTAGGTCAATAAAGAACAAGAGAGTCATTCCAGTATTTCTCCAATGAAGAGGGGCTCTAAAAAAGGTCCAAAAGATATAACTAACATCCAGGCACTAGGACCCAAAGACCAGACTGTGCCCCCCAACAAGACAATTTACATTACCTTGGCTGTAAACCCCAGGAAACACAAGCTCACACATAGTGAAGAGAAGAGCTTCTATGCGGCCCTCAACACTCTCAAGGCTGTCAAGGAGGAGATAGAAACTCAGCAGGGCAAAGAAATGCTGGCGGTTGGCAAAGAAGGAATTGAAGGGTACATAAATCTTGGAATGCCCCTCAGTTGTTTCCCCGAGAGCTGCCATGTACAAATCACATTTGTCCGAAGTAGAAGTAAGCAGAAAGAAGGGAACCAGGTATTTGGCCGGCATGAAAAGGCATCCGCTGACTGTGTCAAATTTTATATTCACGCAATCGGGAAGAGAAAGAAAAGGATCGTCAAACGCAGGCAGCTTCACAAAGAAGGGTGCAAACTCTGCGTCTATGCTTTCAGAGGAGAAACCATCAAGGATGCTCTGTGCAAGGATGGCAGGTTTCTCTCCTTTCTGGAGAAAGAGGATTGGAGGCTCATCAGAAACCTGGACTCCATTCTAGAAAGCACACAGACCGTGGACGACCTGGAAGGCAAGCTCTTTGAGGTTGAGGTAGAGAAAGGAATGAGCTCCAGGGCAGTAGCCGCTCAAAAGTCGGAATCAGAGAAAGGAAACACCAGTGTGCTGAGAGAAGAAATTGTGGCTCAGTACCCCAGTTTGAAAAGAGAAAGCGAAAAAATCAGAGAAAACTTCAAGAAAGAAATGAAAAGTAAAAAGAGCAAAACCTCATTATTTAAATTACTCAAAGTAAAGTTTGGGAAAATGACGAGAAACTCCACCCCGATCAGAGTGCACAACTTTCTTTCTCTTGTCGGTAACTCAGTGGGGTACCTGTCATGGGACAACAATGGAAATAAGGGTTGTGCCACCTGCTATGTTTTCAAAGAGTTGTTCATTTTCACCTGTCGACACGTAGTAAGTGACTTCATGGGGAAAGGAATAGAGCCAAGTAAGTGGGCAGACGTGATTGGTCAATGCGCAAGGGTGACATTTTGTTATAACAGCTTCCCCGAGAAAGATGAGAACTGCTTTTTCCTTGAACCGTGGTTTGAGATATCTGATGCCACCCTTGATTATGCTGTTCTGAAACTGAAGGCAAACGGACAACAAGTACCTTTGGGACTCTATAGTAGAATTGCTCGTGCACCATCTACTGGGTTGATATACATCATTGGCCATCCAAATGGAGAGGAAAAGTCTAGTGATGCTTGTACAGTGATCTCTCAGGGCCAGCGAAAAAAGAAATATGAGGAATGTCTTCAGGCTGGAAAGGGAGAGGGTTGTAGTTATGGGATGCAATACATCCATATGTGCACTCGAAAAACCTTCGAGGAAATAGCTCACAGCCCTGATGTGATTACCTATGACACCTCTTTTTACTTTGGGGCTTCTGGCTCCCCAGTGCTTGATTCAGAAGGTTCACTGGTGGCCATGCATACTGCTGGCTTCACTTGTGATAACGAAATTGGGTTATCATCTCATGTCATTGAATTTGGCTCTACTCTGGAATCCATCCTCCTTGATATTAAGGAAAAACACAGACAGTGGTATACAGAAGTATGCGTAAGTCCGCAAGATGTAGAAATGGTGAGCGATGAGGATTGAGGATGGTGAGAATTAGTTTGTTTACTAGCTTTAAGTTTGTTTAAGCTTTAACCACTTTTCTAAGCACGTGAAGACTAATCCTAACAGGTGGGCCATTATCCCTATTTTAAAGTCAAGTAACATGAACGACGATGAGATTATGACACTAACTCTAGTGTAACTGCTGTGGGGTTTTCCTCCCCATTTCTGTGTCTTCCTGTAAGTTCAGTTGCTTGAAGGAAGGACATTCAATTATGAGTGTTCATCTCATTATCCCCAGTGTCTGGAAGAGGCAAGTAAGTGCTTAGAAAACGTGTGGGTCCGTCAGTAGCACAACTTAGGGCTGCTGTTAATCTTAAGTAAGGAACTAAATGCTTGATTGGAAATAATTTCAAACAAAATCTTTAGAATTTCCAAAATCCTCGTATTACTGAAACTAAGGATATTTGTGTTCTGAAACTCACAGGGTAATATCCACTCTTTTTATAGGCTATTAGGGCAAAGAGACTATCTGAAAGATCATATTACTTTATTCGTATGCCCTTAGTTTTTACCTAATGACCTTTTTTGTTTTAGGATCATTTGTGTGTTGCATTTAGTTGTTATGTCTCCTAAGGCTCCTTCCTTGTGGCTGTGCAGGTTCTCGGGCTTTGACCAGTGACCTTGACAGTTAGTAAGAGTACTGGTCAGGTATTTTTGTGGGATGTCCTTCTATTGGAATTTGTCTGGTAATTAGGCTGTGGTTGTGGGGTTTGGAGAATAAAACCAGTGGGGCGAAGTACTTTTTCACTATATTGTATCAAGGGTACATAGTATCCACCTGAGTTATGATTTGGTGTTGCCTTTGATACCCTGGCCAAGATAATGTTTATCAGGTTTCTCTACTGTAAATTTACTCCTTTCCCTTCCTTTCTATAATGTACTTTTTGGAAGGAAGTTTTATTCACAGCCCACACCTAAGGAGTGGGGCATCCTTTGTCTCTTCCTTATGTAGGGAACTCCTGGAGTCTCTACATAATTTATTCAGCATGGGAGATTTGCTTCTTCTTTCCTATTTATTGTACCAGTGTGGACTCATAGATACATGTTGAGTTATAATCCAAATTACTTTGTTGTATTTCTCAGATTGTTCCTGCTTTGGTCATTGGGAGCACTTTCATTTGGCTCTGGTGCCCTCTTTGACATATTCCCAAGAGTGTGTTGTGTTTGTTTCCTGGGTTTTCTAAGCACTTTCTTATGTTGTGGTCCTACGATATGCTCTGGGCTCCTCTTGTGTATTACCTGACCCAGTCGCATCATCAGCCATTTCTCCTATGAGCCTTTGGTTACTTTTATTGGAGAAGTGTATTTGAAATCAAGATCTGGGCACTAGGTATGCTTTTGCAAGTGGGGTATTATTTCTTCTACGCCCGCTCAGCAGACAAAGCAAAGGAATATGTGTGTGCATATTAACTCCTGTATAGTCAGGCTCCCCAGCTTATTCTTGGTTTCACTTTCTGGGGCTTCAGTTACCTGGGGTCAACGGCAGTCAAGAAGCCAATGATCTTCCTTCTGACTTATCGCCAGAAGGTCAATGGTAGCCTAATGCTGCATCACAATGCCTATGCCATCCACCTCCCTTCGTCTCCTCACGTAGGCATTTTACATCATCATAATGAGAAGAGGGAAGAGTACAGTACAATAAGGTATTTTGAAGGATAGACAATCTTTACATAGCTTTTATTATAGTACATTGTTATAATTATTCTATTCTATTATCAGTTATTGTTAATCTCTTACTGTGCCTAATTTATAAATTAAACTTTATCATAGGTAGGTGTGTACGGGAAAAAGCGTATCTATATAGGGTTTGGTACCGTCCCCTAGGGGATCGTGGGATATATACCCTGCAGATGAAGGGTGGGAGGAACCACTGCATATATGCATATCTACAAACATTTCTTTAAGACAATTTTTTTAATGTTTATTCATTTTTGAGAGAAAGAGACAGAGTATGAGTTGGGGAGGGACACAGAGAGAGAAGGAGACACAGAATCTGAAGCAGGCTCCAGGCTCTGAGTTGTTAGCACAGAGCCCAACGTGGGGCTCGAACTCATGCCGTGTGAGATCATGACCTGAGCCAAAGTCAGACGCTCAACCAACTGAGCCCCCCAGGTGCCTTTCTACAAACATTTCTATATGTAACTGCCTGTATGTACAGTAAGTTAAACATTCTTACCGATGTCTCCAACCCCAGTACCACCTGGATCATTTTTGCCTCCTGCCTTGGTCATCTATGAATGACCTAGTCCAACAGTGAGAAACGTGGCTCCTGCCATCCCCCACCCATTTACTTAATTGCTTAATTCAGTTTTCATGCATAGCGGTATCAGAGTTGTTCACCTGCAGCAGGACAGGAAAAAGTGAGTACAGTGTGTGTTTAGTCTTACAGGCTCACTTCCAAAGTTCCTGGGGTCAGCACCTTTCCTGCCACGCCCTTCAGTGAGGTGTTTTTGTACATTTGTAGTGCAGTTAGATTCTCTTGTCAAAGTCTCCATTCTTTCATCGCTCAACCTAAGTGACTTTTATTATTTTTTTTTTTAATTTTTTTTCAACATTTATTTATTTTTGCGACAGAGACAGACAGAGCATGAACGGGGGAGGGGCAGAGAGAGAGGGAGACACAGAATCGGAAACAGGCTCCAGGCTCTGAGCCATCAGCCCAGAGCCCAACGCGGGGCTCGAACTCCCGGACCGCGAGATCGTGACCTGGCTGAAGTCGGACGCTTAACCGACTGTGCCACCCAGGCGCCCCCCCAAGTGACTTTTAAAATTTGCATACATTAAGGTTCACTCTTCATGCTGTATGTTCTGTGGGTCTTAACAAGTGCATAATGTCATGTATCCAGCATTATGATATTATACGGAATCATTTTACCAGCCTAAAAGTCCCCTCTGCTTCAGCTGCTCAACCCTGCCACTCCCCTGAACCAGTGGTGATAACTGATCCTTTTACTGTCTTTATAGGTTTGCCTTTGCCAGAATGTCACTTAAGTGGAATCAGATAGTATGTAGCCTTTTCAGCTTGACTTCTTGCACTGAACAATATTCCACTAAGGTTCCTCTGCATCTTTTCGTGGCTTGATAGCTCATTTATTTTTTTGCCACTGGATAATATTCTGTTCTATGGATATACCACAGGTTGTGTATTCATTCACCTTTTGAAAGATATCTTTTGCTTCAGTGTTTGGTGTATATGAATAAAGCTGCTGTAAGTATTTGTGTACAAATGTTTGTGTGAACATAAGTTCTCAACTCCATTGGGTAAATACTTCAGAGTGTGATTACTGGACTGTATGGTAAAATTATGTTTAACTTTGTAAGTATCTGCCAAACTATCTTCCAATGTGGCCGGACCGTTTGGCATTCCCACCGGCAGTGAATGCGAGTTCACATCGCTTCACATCCTCACTAGCATTTTGTGTTATCAGTTTTTTTTTAATTAAAAAAAAAATTAGTGTTTATTTTTGAGAGAGAGAGAAAGAGACAGCAAGAGTGGGGGAGGGGCAGAGAGAGGAGACACAGAATCCCAAGCAGGCTCCAGGCTGCACAGAGCCCCACGCAGTGCTGGAACTCCCCAACCGTGAGATCATGAGATCGTTACCTGAGCCAAAGTTGGATGCCTAACCAACTGAGCTACCCAGGTGCCCCTGTACGTACCTTTAGTATCAGTCTGGATTCTGTCAGCAGAATAATGCCACTGAATTATCCTCATAGTATTTATGAGCTCTGAACTTCTGAAATCGAGAGAGGAGACCAGAAACATAGGGAAATATGAACCAGGACTCTGTGGGAAGAAATAGATTGATATTTAAGTGACATAACAGAAAAAGAAGCTGGAGTGGCTTGAACTGTGTTTCTCAAAAAGATATGTCCAACTCCTAACTGCTGGTAACTTTAGGATCTCTAGGTGAGACCATCCTGGATTTAGGGTGGACTGGAAAACCAATGACTGAGGTCCATATAAGGGAAAGGAGAGAGAGGTTTCATGTACACCAGAAAGAAGGCTGTGTGGGGCGAAAAAGAAGGAGGAGCAGGAGGTGGTGGAGGAGAAGAAGGAAAGGAAGACGTGCTGATCTGAAAAGCCCCGGATGGGACAGTTGGGGTGGTGGGCCAAAGGAATGAGGGGAAGGAAGCATCAAGCCGATCAGTTTCCCTCCAGGCTGCAGCCCATTTCAGAGCTGTGTCTCTTTTGCCTTCACCTCCCTCACTCCTTACCCAGCAGGGACCGACTTTGTCACGTGTTTGCCAGCCCCCAGGTCTCTCCGGTTCCTTCACTGCGTCCACTCAACCCCCGGACTCTGTCCAGGATGCTCACTGCAACTAGCTTTGGGAACAACTAACACATTAAAAGTTTATTTGGTCCACCCAAACCACCGGCAGCTGCTGAAAACAAATTTAGAAGCATATAGTGACTCTCCTCTCCCTCCTCACCCCTGATGCTTTTCCTCTCTACCAAAACCTCAGCTGATTTTGGAGAAATCATTGGAGATGGAGCTGAGCTCACCCCGCCCCCAAGGGGGACCAAAGTCCATATACACGTGTGTGAATCCGGGAGGGAGGACCCAAATTTATGGCCCTGTTGCACTCAGGTGCCCAAATCACCAAACTACCCTGTCCCAGAAGAGGAAAAGGTTCTGGGCACAGGAGTGATTAAAGGCCCCAAGGACTGATTGGTGGAGCTCAGGCAGCTTGCGTAGGGGCAGAAAGTGGTCCCTGGGCCTTGATGCTCATCAGGCACTGAGAGGTGCCTCATCAGGGAGAGGACCTAGCTCCAGGGTTTAGGTGCTGACTTTGGAGCGAGAAGAAAGAAGGGAAAAAGACTGACAGCTGTTCGTTCTCTCCTCCTTCGCCATCCTCCCTAGCGTGACCCCCGATCACCACCCTGAGCTTCCCTGGGCTCCTGCATGGAACCTTTGCTTTTCATTGCACTTGTATGGGAAGAAAGGCACTCTAATTCAAGTAATGGGGTTTAGGCAAGATTGAGGTGGGGAAGGAAAGCTGAAGTGATCCTGTGGATGGTTACTTTGAGTGGATTCAATGATTGCTGTTGTAGAGTTGATGTGTTGTGGAATGATGGACTTCCTATCTCCGAAGTGCCACGGATGATTCTCCTGTTAAGGAACTGCTTCGTGTTGGACATATAGCCTGTCGCCAAACCACTTCCCTGTCCCCTCCGAATATTCCAGCAAAAATAATATAAAACTTCCAAAGAAGAAAGGAAAATCCCAATTTGGGTTAAAAACAGGCAACTGGAGCACTCAGAAAAGCCACTTCCTGGTACAACGTCGCCACCTGCTGGACGCAGCCACTAGCGCACCCCCTTCTAAACAAAGGCTGCCATTGACCTGTTGCTAAACCAACCTGCATGGAAACTGACCTCAGGAGTCAGGAGGTCTTTTTCATCTGGCATCTCCTTTTTAAGGCAGTTCCACTCAGACTCATTTACTAACAAAGGAAGGATCCAAAGGCCTTGGAAGTCAAATACTAATGGTATGTATATTCAGGAGCTTAGCCGGCCTGGCTTAGGCATCATCCTTGCATTTTACATGAAAAAGTAGAAATTGCATTATCACCTACGTATCACCTGGATTTTGTTGTTTTCCTCCGGGGGTCTCCCTAGCTTCTGACAGATCATCTAAACGTGGTCAGGGACAAAAGTGACTGCAGACCGAGTCACAGAAGGCTGTCTACCTCTGGTGTGCACCACTTCCAGAACGTTCTCCGAGTGTCCCAGCCAGCAGCTAGGGATGTTTACTAGTGCTGTGTCCCGTATCAAATCCTGAAGTCCAACTTGTACCTCATCAGCACTATAAGTTTTTAGGGGACCCTGTCCCCATTTTTCATTGATGTATAGGGGGCACGAAAATAAATTAGTGCGTGGGGACCCTGGGTGGCTCGGTCGGTTGAGCGTCTGACTCTTGAATTCGGCTCAGGTCATGATCCCAGGGTGGTGGGATCCAGCCTGCATT